GGCTTCTGTTTTGTTTCCCTCAGCCTGACATTTAATTGGATGTGGTAGACACATATATATTCCAAGAAATTGAGAGGCAGAAGCAGGTTGATCTCTGTGAGTTTGCAGTCAACCTAGTCTACAGTGAGTTCCAGTTTAGCCTGCGCTATAGAGTAAGACCTTGTCTCTAGAAACAAAATCAAGAAATTCTGATGTTTTCATCGTGTTCTGAAAAACATTTGAAAATAAAAGTGAAAGCATAATATGATTTTTGACTCCTGTGCAATAGAGGGTTTAAAACCGTGGGTGCTTTGAAAAATGCAGGGCGCCCCCATGATGTCACTGGTCACTCTGGGCACCATGGGCTGCTCATACATTGCTCATCAGGCCACTAATGCTGCAAGTGTAACTTCAACTCCAGGGGACCCAACCCACACATACATGCAGACAAAACACCAATGTATACTAAACAAATCTTTAAAAAAGAAGAAGAAGAAATATAATTGCCAAGTCCCAGGCCCAGTCACAGATGGGGACTAGTGGAGTACTTTTATGAGCTTGGGCATATCCAAGATAATGAAGAAAACCCCACAACTCCCGAGATGGCACACCACATGCAGCACTTGCCAAGGGAGGACATGGGTCCCATCCAAGGCCATCCTCAGCTGCAGAGTGGGTTTGAGGCCAGACCCAGACTCAAAGACAATTGGGAAACCAAATCTAAAAAAATCACAGAAAAAAGCCAGGCTTTTTCTAAAAATTAGAACTTTTCAAACTGAAAATGTTTCTCCATAAAACCAACTTTTGCTGTTTTTTATAAGCCCATTTATTTGGATGGTAAACATCATCCAAAGAGACATGTTTCCTAGAGCATAAAAACGCAGCAAGGCTCCTGAGGGCTCTAGGAAAGAAGAAACCTGAGGGCAGCAAAAGGCTCAGCCTGCTGGGAATCCATGGGTCCCACATGGGAGAACAAAACCAAAACCTGCTTCTGACTTCTGCCCTCCATGAGCATGTACACATGCACACTTATAGGTGCATATATATACACACATATACACAGTTACACACACACTCATACACAATCACACATACAAACAAACACACATGAATAGACACAGGCACACACAATAAATAAACGTACTAAAAAAAAAAACAAAAACCTAAAGTAGTGTGCACTAGCCGGTTAATAACTTTCTCTGTGGGTCACACGTGGGAATATTGCTGTGGGTCTGTTGACTATGGTGCAGTTTGGGGAGCTGAGAAACTTCTGGAGACAGACAGACAAGGTCAGTTGCTGGTCACAACCTCATTGCCATATTGTTCCTAGAGTTTTCCTTTCCTTCTGTCAGGGATGGAACTCAGGGTTTGGAGGAAGTAAGAGCAGGTAGTGGGGGATGAGCCCTGCCCCTCACTGGGGGATTCTAGGCGGGGCTCCACCCCAACCATGGCCCCAGCCCCTCACTGGGGCATTCTAGGCGGGGCCCCACACCAACCACAGCCCCAGCCCCTCACTGGGGAATTCTAGGCAGGGGCCCCACCCCAGACCACACCTCCAATCCCTCACTGGGGGATTCTAGGCAGGGCTCCACCCCAAACCACACCTCCAATCCCTCACTGGGGGATTCTAGGCCCCACACCAGACCACACCTCCAATCCCTCAGTAGGGAATTCTAGGCAGGGCTCCATCCCAGCCCCCCCCACAGCCCATCACTGGGGGATGCTAGGGCTCCACCCTGACCACGCCCCTAGCCCCTCACTGCTGGGGAGTATTATTTTAAGGTGTGTTACTTTTGTCTATGCTGCATTTGTTTAATTCTGTGAAACTTTGTTACTGTGCCTGTCTAAAACACCAATAGTGTAATAAAGAGCTGGATGGCCAATATCGAGGTTGGAGAGAAGGATAGCTGGAGCTGGCAGAGAAGATAAATATGAGGAGAAATCTCAGAGAAAAAAGCTCTGAGAACGAGAGAGGAAGTTGGAGTACTTCAGGGGCCAGCCATCCAGCTACACAGCCAGACATGGAGTAAGAAAGAAAGAAAAGATATACAGGAATAGAGAAAGATAAAAACCCCAAGGCCAATGATAGATGGGATAATTTAACAAAAGCTGGCAAGAAACAAGCCAGGCTAAGGCTGAGCATTCATAACTAAGAATAGGCTTCCATGCATGATTTGTTTGGGAGTTAGGTGGTGGGCCCCCCATAAAACAAAAAGAGTAAAACATCACACAACACCTCATTGGGAAATTTGAGGCAGGACCCCGCCCCTGACCATGACCCCAGCCCCACACATGGGTTCTGTGCTGGAATACTCTAAGTTACACACATGGTGAACCCTCATACTTGTGGATATGGATTTTTGGGCATTTTAAAAATCTCTTGTGAGATGGGCGGTGGTGTCTCACGCCTTTAATCCCGGCACTTGGGAATCTGTGGTAGGTGGAGCTCTGTGTTTGAGGCCAGCCTGTCTACAGTGTGAATTCCAGGACAGCCAGGGCTACACAGAGAACCTGTGTCTCAAAAAAACAAAAATAAATAAGTAAATAAAACTCATGTGTGAGTGTCTGCATTGGTGTGTGCTGTGATCATGGGAACAGGGTCACAAAAGTGTTGGATCTCTGGGTTACAGGCAGCTGTCAGTGCTGGAACCAAACTTAAGTCCTCTTCAGGAGCACTGTAATTACCTAGCCCCTGACATGTTAGCTTTATCAGGTCGTCTCTGTAGTGCGGGCTGACCGTGAACTCCTGATTCTCCCCAAGTGCTGGAATGACAGACATGCACCACGACATGACAACACACACACACACACACACACACACACACACACACACACAGGTCTTTTCTGTTTGATTATTTTTTAAGACATGATGTGGTGGTTTGACAGAAAATGTCATCTATAGTGAGTGGCACTATTAGGAGGTATGGCCTTGTTAGAGTAAGTATGTCTCTGTGGGGTGGGCTTTGAGGTCTCCTAAGCTCAAGCTACTCCTAGTGACACAGTTCCCTTCCTGCTGCCTCCCGATCCAGAGGTAAGAACTCTCAGGTCCATCTCCAGCACCATGTCTGTCCCATGCCACCATCACAGGATGACAATGGGCTGACCCTCTGAACTGTAAACCAGCCCCAATTAAATGTTTTCCTTTACAAGAGTTGCCATGGGAGGGGGGGTGGAGAGATGGCTCAGAGATTAAGAGCACTGATTGCTCTTCCAGAGGTCCTGAGTTCAATTCCCAGCACCAACATGGTGGCTCAAAACCATCAGTTATGAGATCTGGTGCTCTCTCCTGGTGTGCAGATATACATGGAAGCAGAATGTTGTATACATAATAAATAAAATCTTAAAAAAAAAAAAAGCCGGGCGTTGGGGGCGCCCGCCTTTCATCCCCGCACTTGGGAGGCAGAGGCAGGTGGATCTCTGTGAGGTCAAGGCCAGCCCGGTCTCCAGAGCGAGGGCCAGGATAGGCTCCAAAGCTTCACAGAGAAACCCTGTCTCGAAAAAACAAAAACAAAAACAAAACAAAACAAAACAAGAGTTGCCATGGTCATGGTGTTTCTCACAGCTATAAAATCCTATCTAAGACTAGACTTCAACTTAGGGAACCATCCTGCCTCGGTCTCCCAAGTGTTTCTATGTTGGACATACTGTTATACGCCTTCACTCCCAGCACTTGGGAGACAGAGACAGGCAGAGCTCTGAGAGTTCGAGACCAGCCTGGTCAACAGAGTGATTTCCAGGTCAGTCAGGGCTACACAGAGAAACCCTGTCTCAAAAAATGTGTGCATGATATGGGGTGTATGGAGGTCAGGGGTCAACTTTGAAAAGTCCCCTGTCTGCTCCACCTTCATGTGGAGGGCTCTGCACCTTGCCTGGCCAAATAGTAGAGCTGGCCCTAGTGGTTTGAGTATGGACCTGGAGACCTGAAAGCAGGGATCTGACTCAGTTTCCCAGGCTGTCACCACAAGTGCCTTTGCCCACTGAGCCACCTATGGCCCCACTTGGCTTTTCGTTTTTAAGGATTTTTTTTGGGGGGGGCGGGTTTCGAGACCGGGTTTCTCTATGGCTTTGGAGCCTGTCCTGGAACTCGATCTTGTAGACCAGGCTGCCCTCAAACTCCCCGAGATCTGCCTGCCTCTGCCTCCTGAGATTAAAGGCGTGTGCCACCACTGCTCAGCTTGTTTTGTTTTGTTTTAAAACAGGACTTCTCTGTTTTTGTAGCTTGGCTGAGCTGGAACTGGCTATGTAGACCAGGCTGGACTCAAACTCACAGAGATCTACCTGCCTCTGTTTTGGAGGATTCAAAACAAAACGAAAGGGTCATTCCATTCCAAACTGCCCTTGGCAAACTTCTCCCAATCCTCCTGCCTCAGCTTTTCAAGTGTCAGGGCGAGAGGCATGTGCTACCGAGCCTACAAAAGGGAAAGAGACACCCCCTCCTAGAGAAGACACCCTAAGTCCGACTAGACAGGAGATGGAGAGAGGGCAGGGGTAACAGCAGCCATACTGGGGTCCAGATACAGGGAGGTCGACGTCAAGATGGGGGCAGGGTGAAGGAGAGACTGGGAGCGGGGGCCTAGGCTGACACAGGAGGGCGAGCGCACACTGCAGGGGGGTGGGGGAAGGATGCAATCTGGGGATTCCCTCACCCCTGAATCCTGTCTCCTTTGCTCCTTCTGCAGGCCAAGCTCTACTGCAGGGTAGCAGAGATGCGGGCAGACATCCGACAACATCTCCTTGGGCTGGCAGTGTCTCGGCGTCAGCGCCTACAGGCGGTGCACGTGCAGGGAGTAGGTGCACGTGCAGGCCACCAGGGTGGGTCACAGACAGACCCATCTGCGCCTGCGTGCAGGCCTTGCCCTCCAGCCTCAGCTCTGCGATTGGGGGAGCAGGCCAATGGCGGGAGTGAGAGGCTCCTAGTGTCCTAGGAGAAAAGGGGAAGCAGGTGGGAGAACAGACGCTGCAGCCATGGTTCAGTGCGTGCTGCGTCTGTTCTGCGAGCACGAAGACCTGACTTGGATCTTCAGGCCCGCGTGAAAAGCTGCAAGTGGCGACACAGGACGATAGCCATGGGGCAGGAGGCACTGGGGCCCTGGGGATGGCAGGATCCGGGAACTGGCGGCAGGGGGGCACTCCCAGAAGGAGAGAGTACCAGGTGCAGCCCCACCCCCCTCCTCTGCCACATCAGGGTTGGTGCGTGTGCACCAGCAGGTCACTCATGCAAGAGACCACATGGGCAGAGAAGACGAAAGGCTGAGGCTGGGTGCAGTGACGCCGGCCGGGGTGGAGTGGCACGGGCCTGTCACCCGAGCATTCAGGAGGTATGGGTAGCAGAGGTCCGTGGCCTAGTGTGGCCGTATCTCGAGTTCTGGGCGCACCCGAGACTGTCTCAAATCAAACCCCAACGAAGATGTGGAGGGGCCGGTGATGCCATCCTCACCTGTGCTCATCCGTGCCACCCGTGACAGATATGGGTGGAGGACAGAACCGTTATGCTGGTCCAGTCTGAGGTCTGAGTGGATCCTGGACCTCCACACGGGACTGGCTCCCTGGGGCCCTGTCTGTCTCCTTCCACCGGCTAAAAATAACTTGCTGCCCACCTCTGAGTGGGGGCAGGTCTGGGGCGGATGCCAGCACCATCCAGCCCAAGCCAGCGCCTACCAGGCACAGTGGGGGTCCCCAAGGACCTGGGTCCTGTAAACCTAAAGCCTTGGCTGGGAGTGGAAGGACAGGGTGGGGTGTACCATGGGCTGGGGTGTGGGTGTCGCTGCCTTGGTGCACCTTGACCCCTGGAAGGCCTGTAGGTGCCAGGCATTATTAGGTTCCCAGAGATGGGGTCTGTGTCCCACGAAGTGTGAGGGTGCTTTGATCCCAGCTTGCTATGACCCTGACATCTGCAGACACCCGGGTTGGTGTCTGTCCCTGGCCAGTGATCATTGGGCTGAAGACAGATGCACCCCTGCCCCAGTGGCCCAGAGAGGGGGCTCCCAAGGGCATTCCCCTCTTCATCCAGTCAACTCAGGAAGACCTCCCAGGTGTCCTGCAGGACATACTGCTGCCCCAGCCTGTGGGTGTTCTCTGTGGGTGAACGATTGGGGCCACACCCCTGCCCCAGAGCTCTGTGCAGACACCCCAGTTTCTTGAGACATGCTGATTGAGGAAATGGATTTCCTACTCCTTGATGGTGGCCAAGAGGCCAGAACCCCCACATGCTGTGGAAACCCCTTAGTGAATGTTCCTGATCTCAGTTTCCCCAATGTGGTCAGATCATGGAGCCTCAGAGTTGGCCTGAGAATCCAAAACTGTTCTCTCTGAGTCTCCCTTGCCCAGGTAGGTGTGTGTCCCATGCTTGGGGAAGCAGCCTCCCACCCAGGCCTGAGGGGACCTTGGCCTCCTCTCTCCCACCCACTTCCAACATGCCAGCCGCAGAGTGGGGTGGAACCTCCCAGGAGATGGAAACGTAAACAGACCGTCTCCCACAGCCTCAGCTCTGCACCCAGGCTGGGGAGCCACACAGGGCCACCCGCAAGGCTGAGGCTCCCGATCACACCCACTCCCACTTTGTGCTCAAGCACCAGGGAAGGACACACACATGGTCACCCTGAGTGAGACTGACAGAATAAGGTCTCATCTGGATCACTGTGACAGTACCACATCCCTGCAAGCACCTCAGACGTTACTTATGTCGTGCACCAGGAGCAATTGAGGCAGACCCACCACCCACCAGTGGGAGAGGGTGGGGCTCTGGGAAGTAGAGTGTGTCAGCAGCAGGGTCTCTCGATACAGCTCAGGCTTCTGGGAACTCACATCCCCAGTGAGCAAAGATGAAGACCCCAGAATCAAGGCTCTGAGCAGCTGAGATGCTCATCAAGGGAGTGTCTAGCACCAGGGGCGACAGAGGATGACTTTCGAGTGGGACACTGCCTGCAGGACTCTGGCCAGCCACCTCAGTGGAACCAAGAGGCCACACTGTGGACCGTCTGGTACCTCTGGTCCCACTGCAGCTGCCTGCATGCCTGGCAGAAGGCAAGGGCCATGCTAGACAAGCGAGGCCTGAGCGTCTCCCTCCAGCGGAAGTAGCGCTGGTAGCTCTGGCTGTCCTTGTCTAGCTTCTGCAGGTACTGAGCCAGGTCTGCTGGGCTCTCAAAGTCATCCACGTGGATGAAGGCATCAGGGGGCAGGAAGCGTTCATAGTTCTTCCTGCTGGGCCCCAGGACCACGGGCACAGCCCAGGCCTCCAGAGCATTCTTCCACAGCTTCTCTGTGATGTAATCTGGGTGAAGTGAGTTCTCAAACGCCAGGTAAAACTTGTATCTGGCCAGCGTCCCCATCATGTCCCCTCGGGAAAGGGGCATATGTCCTCGGCCATACACGTCCACATGGAGGTGACTCTGAAGCTTCTGATAGTACAGCACCCGAGCCGACTTGGGGTTCCAGTTGGACACAGCCCAGGCCACCAGGTCAGTCTTGGCAGACATGTTGACCTGGGTTTGGACTGGAGGCTCTGCCCACGGCTCCAGCCAGCCATAGGGTGTGAAGATGTCAGAGTCGCTGCGATAGGACATGGTTAGGTTGAAGTGTCCATCCAGGGCTGACAGCCTGCTGCAGTGGCTGGGTGACTCCAGGCTGAACCACACCCAGCGCTGGCCTGGCGGCCTCGGCTGACTTGGCAGCAGTGACCTGGGGTTGGGGCTGATTTCTCGGTGGTGGAAGATGACTGCATCTGCTTGGGGGTACAAGCTCCGAGGAGCAGGGGGGCCAGGTTGGTCATGGGATACTCGGATGTAGGAGAAGAAGCACAGAGCAAACAGCAGCTGCAGCAACAGCCCTATGAGGCACGGACGCCAGGGACACTGTCCCTTGGCTGCTCGGGGTACATCCATGGCCTGGTAGTCCTACAAAGAGAGGGGAATAATAGGAACGTGAGGTGCCACCATTACCATTCATGGTCATTTGAAAATTTCAGAAGGGTCTCTTGTAGCCCAGGCCGACCTCTAATAGCTATGTAGCCAAGGATGACGTTAATGCCTGGCCTCTCTGGCCTCCATCTCCGGGTATGTGCCACCCTGCCCAGCTAAATCTTGATAGAAGTTGTTATCATTTCCTATGTGACAGATGATAGAACTCAAAGGATTTCACAGCAAAGAACCAGAGACCCAAGGACCTGACCCCGTGGGCCCTCTCCTCCTCCATGCTGGGAGAAATGGCCCTCTACTTGGGTAGGGGTCCCAAGGAAAGGGTGCTCTCTGTTCCCAGCTGGACTCCACTTTTTCCCAGTCTCTTCAACTTCAGGGAATACAGAGCTTCACGTTCCTATTATTCCCCTCTCTTTGTATTCTAGCTCACAGAAGTTTCTAGAGTTTTGATTCTAGGATACTAGCTCAAAGGAATAAGATGGTAAGGTCTGAGGCTGTGTAAGAGGTCCCACCTTCATCCAAAGATGAAACTTTCAGGGACTTCTGCTCTTTGGAACCATCTGTCTTACAAAGGGGAAACTGAGGCTCAGAGAGACAGACATGCATCTAGCCATGTACACTCAGTCACCAATAATCCAGATGGACCATTCCCCCTGTCTCAACTTTCCCCCACTTACCAGTTGGCACCCCAATCCACAGACAGCCCAGATCTATAGGATGAGGGGATGCCATCTTTGGGTGCCTTCTACTAGGAGACTGCAAAGCCCTTTCAGCATGGGTGTTGGGAACTGCACAGGGTCCCATTCCCAGCTTCTTCACAGCAGGCGGCTCACAACCACCTGTAACTCCAGCTCCAGGAGACCCAATGCCCCCTGCTGGCCTCTGCAGGCACTGTACTCATGTGCACATACAGGAAAAAATAAAATATGCGTCAAAACCAGCAACAAAACAGCAGGGACAAAAGAAAGAATTAAAAAGAAACACGGACTGGAGAAATGGCTCAGCAGTTAAGAGCACTGGCTGCTGTTCTAGAGGATGTGTGTTCAATTCCCAGCACCCATATGGCAGCTCACAGCTGTCTGTAACTCCAGTTCCAGGGCTTCTAACACCCTCACACTGACATTCCTGCAGGTGAAACACCAATACATGTGAAAATGAATGAATGAGTAAGTGAATGAATGAATGAATAAGAAACACAGGTGTTGGGCACTCCTGCCAGGAAGAAATTCCAGATGAAGGCTGGGCGTTGGTGGCACAGCATTTGGGAGGCAGAGGCAGGTGGAGCTCTGTGAGTTTGAGGCCAGCCTGGTCTACAGAGCGAGTGCCAGGATAGGCTCCAAAGCTACACAGAGAAACCCTGTCTCAAAAAAACAAAAAACAAAAAAACAAAACAAAACAAAACAAAAACAAAATGAGAGAGAGAGAGAGAGAGAGAGAGAGAGAGAGAGAGAGAGAGAGATGAAAACGTTGCTCTTTGGATTTTTCCTCTTGCTGCCTGTTCTGCCCAGGTTCTGTCTTTGGGATTTGACCCTGAACTGTCCTTGCATTCCCCTGTCTTTTTGCCTTAGCCAGTGGCCACACTGTGCAGGGAGGGGCAGGAGCACTGAGCAGTGTGCTCACAGGGGCACTCTTTTAAATGACTGTTTGACTGACAGACAGGTCACACTATGTAGCCCAGGATGGTCTTGACTTCCCCAAGTAACCTTTAGAGGACAGACTGGAGAACAAAGGAGAGTCAGATACATCTACACAGAGCCCAAGATACTTTTCTTAGAAAAATGAGAAATTCCACTTTCCTGGAATGGAACAAAAGTCAGTAAAAACAAAGCAAGCAATGAAAGAGAGGGAAACCCCCATAACCACAACCTGGCATGGTAATACTCGTCATCCCTGCACTCCAGAAACTGAGGCATGAGGATGGAGCATTCTGGCTAACCTGGACCCTATCTCAGAACAAACAAAATAGAGGACAAGAGGGGTGAGGACTGTGGGCAGCGCTCGCCCAGCACAGGGAGCCCTGGGTTCTGACAACAAAGATAGGCATGTCAGAAGTAGAAGCAGGACAATCAGGAGTCAGGGTCAGCCTTGGCTACATAAGAGGTTGGAGGCCAGTGTGGGCTTTGTGAGACTCAGAAACAAACAACAGCAACAGAAGACACAAGCAGACACAGCCACGTCTGGGTTCATCCCTTCTTTGTTGTGTGAGGAAGACAAACAGGTGCAAGTCCATACATGTGGACTGTACGATTTCCAGTCCAGCCCTAGGTCAGGGAAGGTTTAAATTCCCCTAACTCTGTCCCTGGAAAGTCAGGGACACTCTCCCTGCTCCAGAAACCCAGACCCACCGTGCTGCTTTGAGCCACAGACCTTCCCCATAGGTCCTGGACCGGTCCCGGCTGTAACAAGAATAAAAAGTAAGCAAGCTAAGGGTAGACTAGAGGAAGGACTAAAGTTAAGGCTAAAGAGGTGTATCCCCAGAGAGGTGCTCCAGAGTCAAGCAAGCGAGATGGTCCTCCCAAGTGGTCTTACCTGGATCAGGAAGCAGCCACAGTCAGAGCTGGTCAGCCCCAGCTCCTTCACAGGATGCTAATGATTAACTGAAAGGGAAGAAGGAAGTGGATTGCAATTGTCTCCTTTATTCTTCCTTCAGGTGGCCCAACCCATTGTCAGGCCTACCCCAGACACTCGCATCAGCCTCCCAATGAATGATGCCCTAAATTTAGGTCTCACCTATGCCTTTGACTGAGACTGAATGGCTTAAAGCTGGCCTCTGAATCAGTGCCTCAGAGGTGTTGGTTCCCTAATAGAGAGAGTGCCAACGTGGGCACTCAGGGCTCCCTGGTCCCTTGTTTTCTGAATGAAAAAGAGGGAGGTTGGGGGCCTGTGCAAAGGTCCTGGGGCACCCAAAGCCCTGAGTTCTTTTAGCAACTGTGGAAATGTGATGAGGGTATATCTTTTTTTTTTTTTTCGAGACAGGGTTTCTCTGTGGCTTTGGAGGCTGTCCTGGAACTAGCTCTTGTAGACCAGGCTGGTCTTGAACTCACAGAGATCCACTTACCTCTGCCTCCCGAGTGCTGGGATTAAAGGCGTGTACCACCAACGCCAGGCCGAAGGTCTATCTTTACGACAGCTGATGATGGAGCTGGAGGGGTCACAAAGTCACCCTCTAGCACAGGGCAACAGGGAGCCATAGAGTCATCGGGCAGAGGGATGACTCATGGGCTTGTGGTTTCAGTCACTGTCCCAGGCAGAAGCAGAGGCTATGGTGCAGGAAGGTCATGAATTTGTGACTGTAAAACCATCATCTCCTTCCATGAGTTCTCCTGTCTAGCAGGGAAACTTCTTTCCCTCTCCTGGTAGATGGAGAATGTTCTGGCAAGTTAGTATTTTAATCAGAATCCATCTCCTCTTGGGGATGGAAACGGCAGGTTGAAGTCTTCGTTCTACCAAGTCTCCCTGCTCTATGTCACCCAGTGTCCTGCCATGCCAGGTTGGTGGGTGTCCCGGGGAATTGGTTCCCTGAAGGAGGTGGCTGCCCTCTCTGTGACTGGATTTGTCTGTGACTCTTTATAAAGAATGACTTATGGGCATACTTTCTGATTTATCAACCTTAATGTCACTGTGTCCTTGGCATGAGGCCAAGCCCTGGGTGGGTGAGTTTTGGACTCTGTACAGCCTCCATGTATAGGTACCTCTTCCAGGAAGCCTCCCAGGGCTAACTCCCCTGTCCTTCAGTTGGATTTTCCAGCTTTCTGAGTTCTCTGAGTGTATGAAGGCTCAGGCTGCTTCTCCTGACTGAGCTAAGGAGGGTAAGACAGAAGGGCCAGGAGATGTAGATCATATTTCACAGAATAAAATGAATCATTTAATTATTTATTTATTTATTTAGCATTTTTTGAGACAGGTTTCTCTGAGTAGCCTTGGCTGTCCGGGATCTAATTCTGTACACCAGTCTGCCTCTGTCTCCCAAGTGCTAGGATTAATGGTGTGTGCCACCTGGGACCAGTATAAATAAAATATATTCTAAAAGCAGGTCTCCAGTGGAGGGCCGGAGGGCCCTTGTCATTTAACATGGGCCTATTGTCTGTATGTGTGGTTGTGGCTTTGAGCCTGACTTTTGGCAGCCAGAGCTGGCTCTGTTTCCAACTTCTACAGCACAGCGTGCTGACCCAAAATCTAGCAGCAGGCCTCTTGGTTGATGTTTGATTTCTAGATGTCTCCAAAAGCCACAAGGGGAGCTTGCTGTCCCAGCATGCCTTACTGCTCCAGAGTGGTGTGGTGGCCTCCATGTATACCAACTGACTCTGGCAGTAATGGGCTCACTCTCATCTGACCCATGGCCAGATGGATTGTGGGGGTGGCGCTGGGGAGCCTCACACACCAGCACCCAGGTGTGAGAGCCCCTGAAGTCCCTGGAGCAAGAGGCATCCATCCATCAGCAGGTCACTGTGGGGTGTGGGTTGAGGTGGGACGCAGCAGGCCCAGGGGCTGGCAGGAATTTTCCACACTCCTAAGCCCAACCTGCTGAGCCTTCTGGAGGCTGGAAGCCCCTGGGTGCAGCCCAGCATGGTGATGAAGGTCAGACCACCAGGTTGGTGGCACAGTGATGCTCCCAGGGGCAGTACCACAACACTAGACTGAGCCCTGATCCTCAGTTGAGTCTCTGACCCCAGGCTGAGCCCTGATCCTCATTTGACTCCTGATCTTGGGCTGAGCCCCAACTCTAAATCTCAGTGGCAGATAAGGGAAGTTGGGGTTCAGAACTCCTGTTCCATTTTACCCCTTATAACCCCTCCCAGAGAATTCCATCTGTCCACAGGGACCAGGAATGACCCTGCAATCCTGTGTATGTACGCATGTATAGTGCGTGTGTGGGTGTGTGTGTGTGTGTGTGTGTGTGTGTGTGTGTGTGTGTGCATGCCTAGAAATGACCCCGCAGCCCTGTGTGTGTGTGTGTGTGTGTGTGTGTG